ATTATGATATATATATATATATATATATATATATATATATATATATATATATATATATATATATATATATATATATAGTGCAACAAGTCATTTCTCGATTGCTATATGCCGTATTGCTATACTATATGTAATAATGGCGTACTTTTATAATGGGGTTAAAATGGACATGTTTACCGGGTTTCCCCAATGTGAAGTGGCACCTTTTTTTATTACTTTTATTACTTTTTTCGGGAATGCGCTTTTGTGGATATTTTCATATGTGCATTAAAGGCAGCTTCTCGCTGAAACACCTGAAAACATATTTGACATGTGAATGGTTTTACCAGAGTTTCCACAGAACGAGATGTAGGTTCGTGACTGTTTAAATGATGATCAAATTTGTGTCTTAGGACATTCTGGAAGCAATTTCGACATTTCACATATATTGTCGAATCTGCTTCGCAGATGTGGGTACATGCTTTCTCTATTGTAGACCATGATTTGAAGCAACGGCAACATTCATATCTGTCGCCCTCTCCTGGTTGCAAACTTCTAATTGTCGTTTTATTATTGTCATCTAAAATCAATAAACCATTAAATAAAATAAAAATTAAACTAAAAATGTTAATTATTAGTTTATGGAAATTAGCAAAAAGTATCCTGTTTGTAACACTGACCCCGTCAGACGAACCACTGTTGTTTTGAGTAGTACTGACCTCTATAACAAGAACCTATGCGTCTCCTGCAGTCTATTATTTGGACTTAATTAGTTATTTAACAAATTAAAGCCAAATAAAGATCAATTTTCTCTATCAACAATAAGTAAAGGAAGCATTTGAAACAAATTTGAAAGTAAAAAACTTATATATAAAACCTTTAAAATGACATTTTTTTAATGTTTTTATTCTTATTTGTTGCTCAGAAAGTTGCAAAATAAGTCAGAAATTTAGATTTTTTATTAATGTTTACCTTTTTTTTTTATGAACTTAGAACCTTCATATTACATGCAATTTTGGGACTTGTGGTGCTTAAATTAGGTCTAATGGTCGTAAGTTTGTGGACTTATCAAGCATGCTTATTGCCAGGACATTTGGATGGTTTTCTAGACGTTTTCAATCAAGCAGAAATATTGAGAAGGGGAAGAAATTACAACAAAAGACTGTTTCTAGAAATGTGTTTAATTAACGTTATAAAATATAAGAATTATGGTATATATATATATATATATATATATATATATATATATATATATATATATATATATATATATATATATATATACCATATGAAAATATACTATATGAAAACTAGATGGTTCAGAAAACCCATATGTAGTAATAGATTTATAAGCTATTACTCTAATCATCCAAATAAAATGAAAATGAACCTTATAACATTATTAAAGGAACGTGATTTAAAACTTTCTCATCCAGACTACCTACAAGAAGATCTTCATTTGTTAGAAATATTTTAATTGAAAACTCTTATCCTCCTGATATGCTACATAGGATGCTTTTTTCTAATTTATTAAATATAAATAACTTAACACCAATTTTTGCTAAATCTCAAAACACTGTATCCAACAATCAAAACATATATTATCATTCACTACCTTTTATACCATCATTAACTCCTAAATTAATACAAACATTAAAGGTTATTGACAATATAAAAATAGCAACAAAGAACATCAAAACTATTTCATCTTTATATTCCAAAACTAAATATCCTATAGACAAATTAGATCAAACAAATGTAGTATACAGCATTGTTTGTACTCAGTGTGAAGCTGAGTATATTGGTGAGACTGGAAGAAATCTCTCTAATCGCATTATTTCTCACAAGAGTGATTGTAGAATTAAGAAACCATCTTGTGCTTTGGCAGAGCATGTAATAGACAAAGACCATATTATGGATTTTGATAATATTAAAATTTTATGTAATGAAAGTAATAACAAAAAAGAAAATAGAAAATGTATCGAAACTAGATATAAAAAAACTTAAGCAATCAAAAGACGAATATAAACAAAAAATAAAGGAAGGTATACCGGTCACTAGAGATTTGGAAAACAAAAATATCGATGAAATAAATCAGCTATTAACCGATACATTAGCAAAGGCGGGAAAAGAGGTAGCACAAACAAGAATAAAAAAGGAAAACTATGTATCCCAGGAAACAAAAAATCTTATGAGTAAAAGAAAAACATTACTGGAACAAGATAAGAGAAACACAGTAGATTACAAAGAGGTAAACAAAGCTATCAGAAGGAATATCAAGGATTATAAAAGGAGAGTACAGGAAGAAAAAATAGAAAAAGCAATTGAACAAAATAAAAACATGAAGTGCTTAAAACCACAGCTTGGAACCATACAAATTAATAGTATAAAGAACAAAGAAGGTACAGAGACCAATAATGTAGAAGAAATTATACAGATAACACAAGAATATTATAAAAACCTCTACAATACAAAACAGAAACCAACCCAAGAAATCCTTAAGCAACTACAAATAAAAATAAAAAATGTTAATTCCGACTTACAACCAGAGATCAGTAAGAACGAGATAAGAAGAGCACTCAAAGAGATGAAGAACAATAAATCGCCAGGAAAAGACGGGTGACTGTAGAAATGCTAAAACATGGTGGGAAAACAACTAGAGAAGTTTTGTACATACTTATGAATAAAATTTTAATGACAAAACAAATACCCAACAGTTGGAACGAAGCAATAACACTGTTACTATTTAAGAAAGGAGATAAAAAGGATCTAAAGAATTACAGACCCATAACTTTATTAAATGTGATGTACAAACTATTAACCAAAATATTAACAAATAGATTAACAACTAAATTAGATGGATACCAGGCAAGAGAACAAGCCGGATTTAGAAAGAGCTTCAGTACAAGTGACCACCTTTTAACGATGAAGATTTTAATCGACAAAACTAACGAATATCATATCCCGCTATACATGGCATTTATTGACTTTGAGAAGGCATTTGATAGTGTGGAACACTGGGCAGTACAGAATTCCCTACAAAATAGCAGAATAGACTACCGATATACCGACTTAATTACAAATATATACAACCAGGCAACAACAACTATTAAGCTAATGAAACAAACGGAGCCTATTAAAATAAACCGAGGAGTAAGACAAGGAGATACCATATCGCCCAAGTTATTTAACCAAGCGCTAGAAGATGTTTTTAAACGACTACACTGGGATGACTTGGGAATTAATATAAACGGGCAAAATCTGAATCATTTACGATATGCTGATGATATTGTATTAATAACAGAAAAAAGTGAAGAATTACAAAGAATGATGGAAGAACTAGATAGAGAATCGACAAAAATTGGACTCAAAATGAATTATAGTAAAACAAAAACCATGACTAATCAACCAGAAGAACTTATGATTACAGTGGCACAAACAAAAATAGAACAAGTGAAAGAGTATATATATCTAGGCCAAATCACTAAATTAAATAAAGAAAATCAGACCGAAGAAATAAAGAGAAGAATAAGATTGGCCTGGGCATCATTCGGAAAACTGTCTTATATTCTAAAGAATTCAAAATACCCCCAATACTTAAAAACCAGAGTCTTCAATCAATGTATACTCCCTGTCCTCACATATGGCTCTCAGACATGGACGTTTACAAAGGAAAATATGGAAAGAATGGCAAAGACAGAAAGATCCATGGAAAGACAAATGCTGAACATTAAACTATCAGACAAAAAAAGAAACGAATGGATCCGTAATAAAACAAAAGTGAAAGATGTCTCAACCCAAGTAGCAAAGCTTAAATGGAAGTTCGCCGGACACACCCTAAGGCAGAAAGATGAAAGATGGACTAAAACAATTATACATTGGAGACCATGGAATCACAAACGTAAAAGGGGAAGGCCACAAATGCGATGGTCAGATGACCTGAAGAAACACGCCGGGTCAAAATGGATGCAAATTGCCCAAGATAGAGAGGCATGGAAGAAGGAGGAGGAGGCCTATATCCAAGGATGGATTTTAAGGGCTGTATAGATAGATAGATAGATAGAAAGTAATAAATTTAAAAGAACTTTTTTGGAAATGGTTTGTATTAGCAAAAGTGATAATAATTTAAACAAAAGGTCAGAAATTCAAAATTTATGCAAAATTTATAATTATATAATTTCTATTTAATTTATGCAGTCAGTAAAATATCACATTTTGAATTTTCCATGTATTTGTTACATTTTTCCGGGCATCTATCAATGGTGAATAAATCTTCTTCTTTTTTGTTACTAAACAAAGAAGAATTTTTTAAACAAAATTTTATTTTTGACAATATGTCAAAAATAAAAATTTTTAAGTTAGTATTTATGACGTTTTAGGCTGGTTGTAGCTATTCTATATTTGTTTATAATTTCAATTTTTTTTCCTAAGAAACTTCATCTAAATTTTTCAGAGAAACATTTGTTAGAATAAGACATTTTTTTTATTAATATTTTTTGTATTTATTATGTAAGCAGTAGTTTTATATAAAAAACTAATTTTATTTGGTGAGTTAACAAAAAATTTTTTATTTCTAGTTCAACTTTGTAAGACATTTTGTATTTTTTAGAAGCTCTTGATAAAAATTGTAATCACAATTGAAAGCTCGGGTAAAAAATAGTCAACAAATAGCCCCTTTTATTGACTCCAACCCATCAAAAACAGTGTTATATATATATATATATATATATATATATATATATATATATATATATATATATATATATATATAATATTTTAGTGCAACAAGTCATTTCTCGATTGCTATATGCCGTATTGCTGTACTATAGGTAATAATGGCGTACTTTTATAATGGGGTTAAAATGGACATGTTTACGGGGTTTCCCCAATGTGAAGTGGCACCTTTTTTTATTACTTTTATTTCTTTTTCGGGAATGCGCTTTTGTGGATATTTTCATGTGTGCATTAAAGGCAGCTTCTCGCTGAAACACCTGAAAACATATTTGACATGTGAATGGTTTTACCAGAGTTTCCACAGAACGAGATGTAGGTTCGTGACTGTTTAAATGATGATCAAATTCGTGTCTTATGACATTCTGGAAGCAATTTCGACATTTCACATATATTGTCGAATCTGCTTCGCATATGTGGGTACATGCTTCCTCTATTGTAGACCATGATTTAAAGCAACGGCAACATTCATATCTGTCTCCCTCTCCTGGTTGCAAACTTCGAATTGTCGTTTTATTATTGTCATCTAAAATCAATAAACCATTAAATAAAATAAAAATTAAACTACAAATGTTAATTATTAGTTTATGGAAATTAGCAAAAAGTATCCTGTTTGTAACACTGACCCCGTCAGACGAACCACTGTTGTTTTGAGTAGTACTGACCTCTATAACAAGAACCTATGCGTCTCCTGCAGTCTATTATTTGGACTTAATTAGTTATTTAACAAATTAAAGCCAAATAAAGATCAATTTTCTCTATCAACAATAAGTAAAGGAAGCATTTGAAACAAATTTGAGACTAAAAAACTTATATATAAAACCTTTAAAATGACATTTTTTTAATGTTTTTATTCTTATTTGTTGCTCAGAACGTTGCAAAATAAGTCAGAAATTTAGATTTTTTATTAATGTTTACCTTTTTTTTATAAACTTAGAACCTTCATATTACATGCAATTTTGGGACTTGTGGTGCTTAAATTAGGTCTAATGGTCGTAAGTTTGTGGACTTATCAAGCATGCTTATTGCCAGGACATTTGGATGGTTTTCTAGACGTTTTCAATCAAGCAGAAATATTGAGAAGGGGAAGAAATTACAACAAAAGACTGTTTCTAGAAATGTGTTTAATTAACGTTATAAAATATAAGAATTATGGTATATATATATATATATATATATATATATATATATATATATATATATATATATATATATATATATATAATATAAAATTTAGTGTAACAAGTCATTTCTCGATTGCTATATGCCGTATTGCTGTACTATAGGTAATAATGGCGTACTTTATAATGGGGTTAAAATGGACATGTTTACGGGGTTTCCCAATGTGAAGTGGCACCTTTTTTTATTACTTTTATTTCTTTTTCGGGAATGCGCTTTTGTGGATATTTTCATGTGTGCATTAAAGGCAGCTTCTCGCTGAAACACCTGAAAACATATTTGACATGTGAATGGTTTTACCAGAGTTTCCACAGAACGAGATGTAGGTTCGTGACTGTTTAAATGATGATCAAATTCGTGTCTTATGACATTCTGGAAGCAATTTCGACATTTCACATATATTGTCGAATCTGCTTCGCATATGTGGGTACATGCTTCCTCTATTGTAGACCATGATTTAAAGCAACGGCAACATTCATATCTGTCTCCCTCTCCTGGTTGCAAACTTCTATTTGTCGTTTTATTATTGTCATCTAAAATCAATAAACCATTAAATAAAATAAAAATTAAACTACAAATGTTAATTATTAGTTTATGGAAATTAGCAAAAAGTATCCTGTTTGTAACACTGACCCCGTCAGACGAGCCTTATATATAAAACCTTTAAAATGACATTTTTTTAATGTTTCTATTCTTATTTGTTGCTCAGAAAGTTGCAAAATAAGTCAGAAATTTAGATTTTTTATTAATGTTTACCTTTTTTTTATAAACTTAGAACCTTCATATTACATGCAATTTTGGGACTTGTGGTGCTTAAATTAGGTCTAATGGTCGTAAGTTTGTGGACTTATCAAGCATGCTTATTGCCAGGACATTTGGATGGTTTTCTAGATGTTTTCAATCAAGCAGAAATATTGAGAAGGGGAAGAAATTACAACAAAAGACTGTTTCTAGAAATGTGTTTAATAAACGTTATAAAATATAAGAATTATGGTAAGGTAAATGTGGGAGTAATTGACACTTTAAGAAACTACATAACTTAAAATACATATAATTTAAAGAAAATTTCAATATGCGTGTTAATTTTTTACCAAGAAATTCTTCCGACCTAATACTTTCTTCTAGAGCTCACAGATATCATTAGTTATAATTGAATTTTTTTTATTAGTTGTTTAGAAAATAAGTACATAGGGTTCAATAGTTGACAACAAGTGTTTCAATAAATGACACATAAAGTTGTAGTAGTTGACATGACATAATAGAAATTATATTTTTCAAAATTCAGTATGTTAACGTTATTCATTTAGACACATTATTAGCCATATAAATAAATATGTTTATTAAATTTCAAATACATTTTTAAGAAGAATAAATTGTTATGATTTATTATTTCCTAACATTGAAAACTTAAACTAATATAAAACTATGAAGAATAATATAACACAAAGCACACTAAGTCTGCATATTATATTCGCTAAAGTCAAAGTTAAAATATATTCGTTCTCTTCTATATAACTGAGATTGCGGTAACTTTAATATTATATCACTTGTCGAAATGTGTGATTTGTCTTCTACAGTAGGCCACTTAAATTTTCCATCCTCTTCATGTTTGAGGAAGGAGATCTCATAATCGGTATTATCTGAATCTTCCACATCATCAGAAATATTGATTATTTGGCCAACAAAACATTTGTTCATTTTTTTACCCAAAAACTTAACAAGCACAAAATCATTAATGATGAATTTTTTTATTAATTGGTCGTTATTGAATAGTAGCTCAGGGTTTAACTCTATGTCACTTGTTGTTAGCTCAAAACTAACATCATTTGTGGAGGAACCAGATTCCACCCATTCTTCCTCCGAATCACTGCTAGAACTTTCAACCTTCTTCTTTTTTCTTTGTTCTTTTTTTTAACTTTTAATGCCTCTGTCTCTGCTTTTTTTAGTTTTCTGTTTTCTGCCGCGTTTATTTTCTGCCTTTCCTTTTCTTCCTTTTGTTTTTATTTGTTTCTTAAATACTGCTGATACGAATCAGAGCTTACTACAGAAGGGAGTTTTTCCTTTGGCTGTCTTTTCAACGTACAAGGTTTCTCTTCAGGCCAAAACAGGACGGATTTAAATGGAGATGGGATTATTTTACCATCCCTGTACACTGGAGCTTTTATTGGTGTGGAACAGGCCATTACTGCATCTTCAGTTGTTGATACTGTAGAATTTTCGAGTATGTGATTTTCATCTATATTTTGTGCTGTTGGAATCACATGAAATCTACTGTCATTACTGGAACTGGAACAAGCCATTGCTGCATCTTCAGTTGTTGGTACTATAGAATTTTCGAGTATGTGATTTTCATCTATATTTTGTGCTGTTGGAATCACTTGAAGTCTACTGGTTACATTTTTCCACATAAGGAATAGAGATTTGTCTTGTTCTCTACCATTCCAATCTTCATGACAATTTTGAAATACCCTCACTTTTTCCTCACCTATTTCCTTTTCCAGAAAAGCAAGACCATCTTCATCATTCAATGTTTTAGTTCTTGACTGTATTGAAGGATCTTCGAAGTCATTTTGATTTTCGTGATGATTGTCTTTCACTTTTGAGTAGTCTATAGCATTCTTATCCCAAGGCATTAAACCACTTTTTCTGAAGGCATTTTTCATGATTTGTTTCTCCAAATTTTCAAGAGTTTTATATACGAGAGGTGCAAAATCAGCTTTTCTTAAATTAGGTGATTGAATATTTTCTACACGCCATTGGTGAACTATTGCTTTCCACCTTGTTTTCATAGGCTTAAAAAATCCTGTGTCAAGTGGCTGGAGAATATGAGTTGAATTGGGGTGTAATGCTATGAGTATTATTCCATTTTTACTGCAAAATTCACTGGTATGCAGTGTTAAATGACTAGTATGATCGTCAATAAATAATACAACGGGTGTCTGTATGTTTTGTGTTTGTAGCCAAGGATGAAAGATGTTTGCTACATATTCGAAGAATAGCTCTCCATTCATCCAGCCACTATCAGATTTGCCCATCGACCAACCTTTTGGCACTCTATAGGCAACCTCTGCAGGGATTTTTTTATATTTATAGACAATCATAGCAGGAGCAAAATTGCCATTAGCGTTTGCAGTTATCAAAACAGTCATGCATTCTTTTTCATCAGCATTAACCTGTTGGTAAACATTTTTTTCACCTTTACGAACCAGTACCTTTTCGCCTTTTGGGTTCAGAAATAATGCGGTCTCATCTGCATTGAACACGCGTGAAGGATTTTGAAGTATCTGAAGTTGATCATTGTTTAACAGATAATTTGTTATTTCATCAAACCAATTTTTGATGCCGTGCTTAGTTACTAAGGCTCTGGAAGCTGTTAAATTTTGTGCTATTCGTTGTTTTAGACAAGGATGTCTTCTCAAAAAACTTTCATACCATGCACGGCCAGGGCGGTCAGCAACAAATGGAGTGTCTCTTTTCATTCGTTTTATAATAATTTGTACACTATCCAGCAGCTGTCTTTTTGTTACTGGAAATTTTGCTTCTGCTGATTTTAGTATCCATTGTACAAGCAAGTTTTCTTCATAGGATGTCAGAATAGTTTTTGGCCCCATTCTTCTAGAGATAGGAGTTTTTCCTTTCACCTTGTACATAAGAGTTATTCTGGGAATCTGATGTATTTTTGCTGCAGCGGCTACTGGCATCCCAAGGCGAACATCCTCTATTGCAGCTGTCATAGCTTCCTCAGGATAAGCTAACATTTTCCCTTTCACAGGAGGCATTTTTACCTACAAAAAAAACAAACCGTGATGCTATAGTTGACATATTATGTTCCAATAGTTGACATGCTATGTCAACTACTGGTTCGGATAATGGCAGAATAATAATAAAAATACAAAAATGCTGATTACTAACTAAAACGAACAGATATCTACTTTGCCTAGATCTGTGTGTCATATCCAGTAGTTGACACTGGTGTCAAGTATTGGTGTAATGGCTAAAATTTGCTTTAGTAGTTGACACACCACAAATAATTTTAAGGTTAACCACTACAAGATTTTCAAAAGGAAAAAACAGTTAAATAACAACCTCCCACACTATTAAAATTATTAGAATT